TAGATTTTTCAAATATCATAATATAACTTATTATGTCTTTTATTAGACTAACCAATTTAACTGGAAAAACAGGCATTTCTGAAGGAAGTTGTAAAGGACACCAGGGAGTACCCAAAAAAGAAGTTTTCCAAATATGGTCTGATCTAGAAAAACCTTTCCCTCCTGCAGGTACTGTGTGGAATGGGGTACCAGATTTCTCTGAGATACTGATATGGTTCACTTGCTTGTTGACATGTTTATTACTGAGTATGATAGTCAAAAAGCCCTTAAATGTTAACTATAGAAAATCAATAATTAAAATCTGTTACATTCAATTACCTCTAGCAAAAAAAAAAAAAAAAAAAAAAAAAAAAAAAAAAAAAAAATTACTCCTAAATCAAGCTGCCTGGACAGAAATTTAGTTCACAAATATAAGAACTTAAAATAGTTTTCTGTAAAGGACAAATCTATGCCATATGAGTCAGGATATCAAATAAAACACTGTAAAGAACAGACCAGATACACACAGCTCCACATATCCTTGATAAGAGGATTTGTAATTCTTAATTACATATTTATGTCATTTCATTATCAGATCAACTGAAAAATACTGTATGATAAACCGAACAGTAAGAAACTTATTACTTGAATTATGGTAGGATATATTTCCATACAAGATCTTCCTAATCAAAAATCAGTAAAGCATATTATTCTTTATTATACTGAAATTAATACCTGAATAGTAAAAATGAATACACCACTATTTATTTGTAGCAAAATAATCAATATATTCAAAATCAAATGATCAGTGTTTGAACATAGATTGGTACCATCTTCCTTTTGTGAGGGATACACAGTCCTGGTTCAATTCAACAGCACCATATTTAATTTCTCCAATAACGTTTTAACAAATATCACAAGAAGTGAAGTTCTAAAATACAGGGAAATAACTGTACCAGCTAGTATGGCAAGTAATTTAAAGATATTTTTAGAAACATTAATTATATATTCACCCAATATTAAAAGCAAGTGATGTAAATTAACTTCCTATTTTCCACCTCTCCGAATATTTTAATTATGTATCTACTAAACTGTATACTGGTATTTACCTGGAAAGGTTGATGAAAGTAATATCTTAATTGATGGCTCCATCCTTCCAAGCATCTTCATCACACAGCTTGCAAATCAAAGCTATTTTACCTGAAAAAACACTTCACAAGTAGGAAAGTTACATGCAAAAGGTACTTATTCCTCTGCCATGCTAAAAGCTGCATCTACATGGGAAATATTCTATTTAACCCCAGCACTTGCTGCACCCTTTTTAACTTGTTATTATCTTTTCTCTGATCTGCATAACAAACCAGAACTCAGGCACACTTCTTGTCATTATCTATAACAATTTTTTCATTTACCTGCACAGCCACCCTGAGTGAGGATTCACCACCAGTCCCCAAGGTCACAGAGCTGGAAACTCAGAGTCTGAGCTCAGAGGGACACTCAGGAGAAGTTACAATCTCCTCCGAAGTGAAACACTGTGCTGTCCTGTTTTCCCAATCTATAAAACTTCATTTTTTATTTTGTTACAGCTTAATAATAAATAAGCTATATTGGTTTTGAAAAACCACCATGCCTGCACAAGCACCCATGCACACACAGACAGAAGACACAAATTTTTGCTAAAACATGCACTAAAGCAGAAGAATTTGGGTAACCCTTGATGAGTGTTAAAGCTCTGAGGGCCTCTCCCTGCAGAGTCCTGCTGCTGCATTGCTCCTCCATCTTCAGAGCAGGGGTGAGATCCAGCAGAGGGTTTTGGATGGGGCTGAGCCCTCAGTCTCAGTGCACACCTGGAGCCATCTCCTCTGATATGGGCAGGCCCACGGGATGGATTCACATCCACTCCCCAGAAGGCATACGTGAACAATTCCAAAAGTCTTTTCCCCCCTCTATTAACAGTGTCATACAATGCTGGCATAACACAATGGAGATTACCTGCTACCTGTACAGCAGACTTTCCTCACACAAAGCTGTTGTTAGGACACAAAAGAAGTTCCCACACTGGCATGCAGGTATTTTACTTACACTTAAATGCACCACAGAGCCCTTGTACGTTCATGCCCTCGCACTGGAGCTGTCAGCAGCTATTTCACAGCTGGCACCACCCTCTGAGACACTCGGGTAGGAACTCAGGGTGAGGGTTGAGTAGAGGGGCATGGGACAAAGCTGTAAGGCCCTTTACAAAGTAATGGTAGTTTCTCCTGCCTTCCAACAAGCAGCAGCCAAGTATTCTTATCTCCTTATTATCTAGATAATAAACAATCTACAGTGTTTTCTTCTAATATATTATTATCTTAGTTCTCCACTGTGTTATAAGCAGATACACAATCAGAATATATAATTTTCTGTTGAGATCTCCACCAGCTAAAAAGCATTAGAGCCATCCCAGCTAGTAAGTTACATGTTCATCAAGTACCTCTAAACGGCAGCATGTTGATGTCATAAAGTAAATATTTAACTACAGTCATCATTCTTCCAAACAATCCTCCTTATTTCACACATCAGAAGTTTCTGGTTTTCTCCAGGGAATTTCTGATCACTTCCACTAGTGTTACCCAATACCCCCTCATTCTACTCTTTCCTGCTTCTGTATATACAAGGCATGCCAGCACTTTAAATAAAGAATACAATCCAAAGTCACTACTGGAGACACATGAGCACAGACACAAATCACTGTCAGTCCCTGGATTTCCTAGTAGCAAAATCCTTCCATTCACGTATCCCAAGAGTTTCTTTGGTGTGCAGCTTTTAATGCAGCCCAGCCTATCCCAAAATTTTTCACACAGTTCATGCTCCCAGCACGCAGTATTAAACAAATCCTTACAGCAAAGGTGAAGCACTTAATTGTTTCTATCTCGTCCTTTGGAGAAGCCAAAAGGGCTACAGATCCATGTGCTCAGCCTGGCCTCTGCTCTGGGAAGGAGTGATGGGAGCTCCTGAATAGGGGTGTGCTGGTGCAAACCAGCCTCCTGCATTTCGGGGACCCATTTCTGCCCCTTTCTAGCCTGTAAGGTTCAGGTTTACCGGCACGGACCCAAAACAAACAAACAAACAAGCCTGAAACAGTAAAACGCGCAAACAAAAAATCAAAACAAAAAGAACAAAAACATTGTTTTCACATTTCTAAAACTACTCCTGGTCCTTCCAGCTGCCTGGCTCAGAAAGCCTGGTGGAGATAAGGCTCTCTGAGAGCTAAATGCTCGCCAAGCACGGAGCAGCAGCACCCCTGTGCCCGGCCCGGCCGGGGAGGCACGCCCGGCCCCGCTCTGGCTCAGCCGGCAGCCGCTGTGCCATCAGCGCACCGTGCGCTTTCCTCCGGGCAGCAAAACCCCCAGCAGCTGCTCAGCACCGCCAGCAAAAAGCCCGGCTTAACAGAAACAGGGTTTGCGGGAGCAGAAAGGACCCGCTGCCTACGCCGGGGACAGGTCAGGGAACAAAGCCCAGGGTGGTACTCGAGGGAAAACCTCAGCGGCAGCCCAAGCGCCCCCATGACCCCTCTTTGACGCTCCAGG